GTTCGGGCCGGCCGTGCGTGAATTCATTAAAAAAAAAGCCGAAATCATCGCCTAAATATATGGAATCGGAATTATCAATATCCGCAGCGTCGATTTATCGTAATTTGACAGAAAATTTGGGTTTCAGAAAGGTTTGTGCTCGATTTGTCCCGCACACTTTGAAACAACACGAAAAAGACCAGAGAATTCAACATTCAATTTGACCAAAAATCGCATTCATATCATCAACCATTCACCCTATTCGCCTGATATGGCACCCTGCGATTTTTATTTGTTCGGGAAACTACATTTGGCCATGAAAGGAAACCGCTATGCTGACGTTGATGCCTTCCAACCTAAATAAGTCATTCGATAACCTTCTTGAACGTGCAAAACGTTGTATTCAGGCGGAAGGAGACTATTTTGAATGCGACCAATAAATTTTTCAAAAAAAAAAAACAAATAATATTCGTTTTTTAATAAAAGTCCTGAAACTTTTGAATTGCACCTTGTACTATAGTTTCTTATGGCTAGCTTAGACAGATAGCGGAACGGTCTTCAACGTCCAAAACTAGTCAGACCACCAAATTGTCTGCAGAAAAACATTTCACAACAAGGCTTACGCTGCAAAATGAAAATTTCCTCTGCTGTTGGAAAAATTTTGAATGGACCTCTTGAATAGGGATAAAAATAATAAGAACAAGAAAGACATAACGGGTGATATAAATAGAGGTACTTATTTTAATAGCCTTCTTTAGACAGATAACGCATGAGTCGTGTCAAGCTGTCATGTTATTACACCCTCGCAACCTGTTGCTACAGAGTATAATAGTTGTGTTCACCTAACGGTTGTTTGTATCAGCTACAACTAATCGAGTTAAATATGGGGTTATGTATATATAAATGATCAGGATGAACAGACGAGCTGAAATCCGGGTGACTGTCCGTCCGTCTGTGCAAGCTGCAACTTAAGTAAAAATTGTTCACTCCGAACAAATGGTTTTAGCCGCACAGTGTGAAAATGGGTCAAATCGGGTGACAACCCCGTCTACTCCCCATATAACGGTACTGTTAAAAACTACTAAAAGCGCGATAAACCAAACCCTAATCACGCCAAAGACATTAAATTTCGTCTCTGGCATGGTATGAGGCGACATTATAGGAGCCGCGTTCAAAATTAAACAGTAGGCGTGGCAGCGCCCTCCTTTAGGTGAAAACACATATATATAACACCATTTTTAATTTCCATCTTATTTTTTTCACTTTTCACTATGCAAATCAAGCAACAATGATTTTATCAGGGTAAAACTTTGCGTGAAAAATTCGTTTAAAGTATGCCACCTTGTGACTAAAAATTGTCTAAATCGAACCAAAACTGATCAAGCCCCTAGGATACTGAATATGTGGACCCCAGTGAATACAGTTGACTTTTTACCGAAAATATCGGTCAATGTGTAAGAAATATAATTGAAATTCATATAATAAAATAAATAAATGAAACTCCCGATAATAGTGTGTTGTTGTGTCAAAACTTGGTTGAATCGGATCAATACTTCTTTAATATAAAGATTTGCCAACACCTGAAATAATTTCCCGGGCTTTGATCCATGCAAGTTGCGAGAGTATAAAATGTTCGGTTACACCCGAACTTAGAACTTCCCTACTTGTTTTTGTGTAGTATTGTTTGGCATTTCATTGTGGGAAGAATTACGCCTGAACAACCTTTACAAAACGTTCAACTTCATAACGAAAGTTCACGTTCTGTAAAGAATGTGTTTTGCGCGCTTCGCTCAACTTATGGGCAGCCCAATCGACCTCCTGAGCTTACTATTCGCAACACCATCACCCGTCTTAAGAACCAGCTCTTTTAGTGGATAATATTCGTCCGAATAGACCACTTCCCAACAAACAGTGGAGAAAATATAGCTGCCGTAGCTGAGAGTGTACACAAAGACCGTGGAGAGTCGATTCGGTGCCGTTCGCAACAACTTGGAGTGACGTATGGAAGGACTTGGCGCATTTTCAGCGACAAGGAAGATTTCTGGCAAAATGGGTATATAAACAAGCATGGGATGAAGAGGAACCTGAAGAGATTCAAGAGCTGTTATTTTACCCACAAAAAACAGCAGTTTGGTGTGGTTTGTGGGCCGTTGAAATCATCGGTACATATTTCTTCAAAAACTATACCAGTGAGCAAAAAATAGTCAATTGCGACCGTTATCGCTCCATGATTTGATTTCAAAAAGACGGCGCCACTTCCTATACATCGCATCAATCAATGGATTTATTGAGAGAACACTCCGATGAGCAGATAATTTCATATTTTGGGCCGGTCGACTGGCCACCAACTTTTAGTTTTTTATTGGCCCTGTCGATCTCAGTTCTTCGTAGTCTTCTCTGTACCTATTTCCTTCTTGTATTATGTGTTGTTTCACCTGGTCTATTGTTTTTTTTAAATGGTTGGATCTATACTATTTTTTGCGGTTTTGGGTGTACATTTAATGGTTGAGTGATATCGGTCATTATAGTTACCTATAACGATCTGTATCCTCATTTCTGTTGAGAGACTTGGAACATGAATTCCTGTTAGTTTCTCTAACAGGGTTGAGTGCCGCCTCTCAATGTCTGTATTACCTGTGTGGGAATTTGGTTTTGTTAGGTGTACCTCTACTCCTTTTGCATTTAAAAACTGTATCAACTGTTCATTGTCCATTATGATTTGTTTTGGTTTTCCAAATTTCGCGAAATGTTCAATTATAATAGCCTTCTTTGCTCTCCAATTTCTATCAGTTATGTTGTATGCTGCCGCGAATTTTGTCAGTTTGTCAATAACTGTGACAAACGACTGCTTTTTGAAATGAAAAATGTCTACATGTATTATTTCGTTTTTATCTGTCGGGTAGTTTAAACTTTGGTCTTATCGGTTTCCTCCCTTACTTAACTCTTTATCACTTTTCACAGTTATTTATTATTAACTGTATGTGTTCTTTGAATTTGGGATAGTATATTTTGTCCTTACGTGTATTGTAAGTTTCGTTTATTCCGCTATGCATTGACTCATTACTATGGTAAAGTAAGATTTGCTTATGTAAATCTTCTTCTTTTTCTATTTCTGTTGCCCTTTTTGTACATTTGACAAATTTAATATTATTATCATGTGAAAACATCGAAATAATTAATATCTGAATTTTATGATAATCAGATTCAGTAACTTCTGAGAATATGCCGACACATCCTTTTCCTTTAATATGCCGACTTAACACCTCTTTTATTATGTACTCTTCCTCCATTGGGTTGATCTCTATCATCTTTCTCCCATGGAGTCTCTGCATTTCAAATTTTGGACTGTACTTTAATATAATATGATTTGAACTTTATGTTTATTCACTATTTCTTCCTTGACTACAAAGTGTTTTAGCAGTTCTTCTTCCGCAGAATGTACTGTATCCGACATTTCTAAATTTGATTCATCGTCGTTCCTATCTGTTATTTTAGGCGAATTTTCAATTCGACTTAGGAATTCCGCTACTACGTTATCTTTACCCTTTACATACTCCATTTCGTAATTGTACTCCTGAGTTTTAGAAGCCACCTTTGTTGTCGTGGTGCAAATTCTTTCCCTTTATACTTGTTATTTAGATACTTAATCTACAGTGATCAGTTACTATCTTACATTTTGCTCCGTATATGTATGGTCTAAAATAAGTCAATGCATACATGATTGCAAGGAATTCTTTGTCTGTCGTCGCATATTTCTCCTCATGATTGTTTAGTGTTCTTGAGATGAAACTTATTGGTTGGCCTTGCTGTGAAAGAACAGCTCCAATAGCGTAATCGCTTGCATCCGTAGTAATTGTAAATTTTTTGTCAGATTCAGGAAATTTTAAAATTGGCTGTGATGAGATAAGGGTTTTTAAATTTTCAAAGCTGGCTATATATTGAGGATCTCTCGGATTTATTGTAGTATCTTTCTTTAAATATTTTATCATTGAGTAAGCTATTCTAGAGTAATCTTTAACAAACTTTCTATAATAGCCTGTGGTCCTTAAAAACCCTTTTAATTGCCTTTCTGTTTTTGGAATTGGTAAATTTTGAATGGCTAAAATTTTTTCTGGGTTGGGCTTAACGCCGTCTTTTGTCAAAACGTGGTCCAAATTTTCGGTTTCTCTTTTTAAAAAACTACACTTATATGCTTGGATTTTTAGGTTATTTTCCTGAAGCTTTGAAAAAATGTTTCCTAGTAAATTTATGTGGTCTTCTAGTGACGTAGAAAATATTAATATGTCATCTAGATAGACTACCATGATTACTTCGTTCAGTTACGTATTGCTTAATCTTCAAAAACAACTGCCAAAGAATGTTCTTCGAATGATAGTAAGCATTCCCAATTAAATTTGAATTTGCTGTGTTTTTTCTTAAAAAAAGGAGGGAAGCTAGAAATGGATGAATGTATATTTAATACATATACTGTACAATATATGTAATATGTAATAATAGCATTCTTAAAGATTTACTAAATTCTTCACTCGAAAATATGTAATCCTGGCTATTACAATACCACATACAATGCGAGGACAATATAAGACAAACACAAATGAAACGTATGCATGCAATACCCATGCATTCAACATTTAACAATACAAACATATTTAGCTAGTTTAAGACCTTTTATAGTATTAAGAAACATGCACATTCATTGAGTGATACATTTAAAACAACCGATATCATATAACACACATTTATGTAGATACGATGATTTTAAAATAGTAAAGAAGCGATGAAAATAGTGAAATAAAACAACATTTTGTAAGCCTAAAGTAAATAAAATTATTATACAGCTGTATTTCAGAAATAACGAACACATTAATTGTCAGGCTGGTTCGCTTTATCGAATTTTCATTAATTTGAGTACTCACTCAGCGAGGTATTTTTCAATAAAATGAGTAAAAATCCGAGAATTTTGTTTAAACATTATTTATTGAATTATGTGAAAAGAATAAAACCAAAAAGGAACAATTCAAAGCGCTTATGCATGTTACCCTAAAGAACGTAATGTGCTTAAAAAGAAAATGATTAAAAATGTTTATATCAGTAATATAAGTTTCTATACCTAATTAAAAATTGATTAATCGTCGTTTGTTTCGTTGGAATACTAAGATTACATTTGATGGCTTCTTCAGTCAATACAATACGTTGTATGAAATCGACATTTTTCTGCTTTGACCATTGTATACATTGTTCAACATTTTTCTGCACCTTTATGTTTAAGTTTTGGGTATTTATTATCAATTTCACCATTCCTTTCAACTTTATCATTAACCCCATCGGAATCTTCTATGTAATTTTGTTCAACCCTGACTTAGAATTGAGTCCTCAAATGTTAAAAAAAAATATTTATTTAAAAAGGTCTAAGCATATAATTTATCGTTATTTACATTTGGAAAAGCCAAGTTGAACAATTTTACTCCATTGCTTATTGCCAATGTATTGTAGTGTGTATGTAGATTAACGATGAAATAGGAATATCATCCTCTTCAACGAAATTGCCCTGCTATTACACTTAATTGAAAAGGAAAGAAATACAAAACATTAATGTACAAAAGTTAATGTTTCTTTGAAAATTGTTGATGTCTTTTTCTTGTTGTTCGCTAAACCGAGTACCGAACAATCGACATTAAAATTATTAAATTTGCGAAATTACTTACTTTTATTGACTATTCATTTCTTTATTTTGCATGGTTTATTTTTATGAAATAGCTGTTTGACAGCAGAATGTTTTTCACCTCATGTGATGACTTTTTCTTATGAGGTTCAAGCAAGAATAACTTCACAAAATAAACCTAACTAATAGTTGTGAGGTTTTCTTACAATAGGGCTGATATTCGGGAACTGGAAGAAGAGAACGACAAAATTACGTTTTTGAATGCCGAAGCGGTGGATCGCGTACTCACTCGTGTTTCAGCATTTTTCTTATAAAAAACGCAGCAGCTGTAACAAGTGAAATACAATATATTAATTTTAGGAAAAACCGCTATATAAAATACTATGCAAACATAAAAAGTGTCAATTTCAATTTATACAGTCTTAAAAACAAGCTTGAGAATAACACTTTCGAGATTTTTTCGATATTTCGCTCTACAGTAGCAATAGGGAATTCAGCAGAGACAAAGAAATGCCCAACTCATCTGTCACTGGAAATGAGAGAGCAAACCTCCTGAAAAATATGTGAACAGATTTGTTACCGCTGTTGAATATCACTAAAGAAAATTGGAAAACAATAAAAATTAAAGAAAATTATGAAATCTTTTGTAATGCAATGCTTCGTAGTATTAATTTTCAATTGAAAAAAGAAAAAACATATATTAATTAAGAGCTAATACATTTATCCCTTT